CTATATCTTTTGATAGCTGGCCACCATCAGCTTTCTTCACCACTTTCGCTTATTCACCCGCTTTGTCTTCAGCAATTGTGTCAGGACAGGCTGGTGTGCTTTCTATTTGCCTATATACCCACTTGGTCTTCAGCGATCGTGTTGGAAAGGTGAGCAGCTCAGACTGCTGAATTATTAGAACAAAGTGTTCTTGCGTTGAAGGAGTACTTGAGTAGGGGCCCACTGTCCATCTGTTTCCTCAATACTAAACCTATAAATATATGTACATACATTTATTTCCCCCTCATCGTATATAAATATATTTACATATGTACATGTCTGTATTTAGATCTCTACACATCGACTTTTCTATACGCATTTCTTACAAAATGGTATCTTTAACAAAGAATTCCCTAGCTTGAGAATTAAAATGAAGACCATTCCTCAGCAGAATGAAATCATTACAATCTTTCCAAGATAACATTTTAGGCAAAAGGTCTCAAAGAAATCAGCAGACTTCAGACATGACGATCTAAGCTGCTAGTCAAGTGCAGATAACACGTCACCTGTCTCTCCCCTGTCTGTCTGTCTGTCTGGGGGGGAACGGCAGTGTACTTAACACACGGGCTGGAGATTTACAATCAGTTACAGAAACCTGTTTAACTACTGATTTACAGTCTTGGCGAGGTATTTAACTGTCATCAGAACTAATTATAGCAAACCTGAAATTATGTATTCCAACTCTCCTTTTGGTGAAAGAAATAGAATGCTCTGTTGAAAACCAGAAACCTCCTGAGGGTTCCCAAACAAAAATGTACCACCCGACTCGACTTCTCAGAACCAGTGCTATAAAGCTCACAATGACTGTGCTTTGGCAAGTTGTGTTCGCCTCAAGGACTTGACGGTAAATCACGGTTCCAATAATGCCACATCGCTGGCCCGGATCCCACTGATCTCAGTGAACATTAACTGCCGCCATCCACGTCACTGGCCTCATTCAGGCACTCTGGGGATAGGGCACATGCATGTCCAAGCTTCAGGGACACAAGTTATAACTGATCAAAAAAGAACCTGGGCTTCCCGGTACCCGGAATGAGCAGGGCACTCTGAGCAACACTAGCAGTCTAGGAAATACTGTCCCATTTTCCTGCTCTCGTGAGCAAACTGTCTACTCCCCCATCCCAGCTGGTGAAACTGGTCCCAATAGGCCAGCAGCAGCCCCTCTCCCTCCTCCCCCAGTACTCAGCATCCTCCAGTGCTGGGCCTTCCCTAAAAGCTTCAGGACTTTGCACAAGCTATGCCCCAAAGAGGGCTGATATAATAGGCAGTTGCTCTACCAGAGGGCCCAGAGGAGGGCACTGGGGCAGGCTGAAGAGCCATACCAGTGGCCTTCTGGTTGGGGGCTCCCTATATCAGACCCTGCCAGGGGCCACTCTGCAAGGGTCATTCCATGCCTGAAGGCCAAGGAAACGGGAAAGCCCATTTGGGACTTTATGCACCCGCCTGCTCCAAGAGGGCATGTTTATGGCTTCAGACCAGATCTCTGGATGGGCAGCAGGCATCCTGCTTCCACTTTTAGGGGAAGGGCTCCAACTCGCTTAGCTTGTCTTCCACTACAGATGTTTGAAACGGGATGTGGTGGGCACACAGTGCAGTGTTCTATCAGCCACACAGCACAGGGACAACTGCGGCACAAGAAATGATCTGACCATGTTCTGTCCGGTTACCTTGGGATGACAAATTTTGTTAACAGACACACAATTTGCCTTACATTTTGCATTAGCGATACCAGCTTTTCTCAACCAAGTACAAAGAAGATGAGGTTTGCTTTCTTAAAAAGTAGCTGGTACATCTATTCACTTATTCTAGAGCCCTGGTGGTGTAGTGCTTATACACTGTGCTGTTAACTGCAAGGTCAGCAGTTTGAAACCACAGGCTACTCCCTGGGAGAGAGATGGGTTTTCTGCTCAATAAAGAGTTACGGTCTGGGAAACTCATAGGGGCACTTCTACCATCCTCTAGGGTTGCTATGAGTTGGCATTGACACGATGGCAGTGAGGTTACTTTGGGTTTTTCTAGAACATACCATCATAAAACATGCTTGTACCATCATCCACGTCAGAAACTAACAAAAGCATCCCATTGATTATAGCCATGGCTCATTTTCTATGTCCTGGTGGCATTAGCCCCCAGAGAGAACTTAGATTGGGCAACCAGCCAGCAGAACCTCTGAGTAAGGTGGAGGACGACAGAGGTGCACTGCAGACCACCTCAAGCAGCACCGCCTTCAACCCCCAGGGCCGGGCACTGGGCAGTGCCAGCGGCCTGGGCCCGACACAGGAGCCAGTGTCCAGCTGATCGAGTGCCTGCTCCACGCCCCTCCCAGGGAGGACCAGGAGATGCACAGCTCACGGCCACGACTGCCCAGCAGTAGTCCATCACTGATCCTGCCTTTGTCCGACGAACGGGAAGAGGCGGGGAAACAATGAGACTATGTTCTTAGAAGGCTCAAAGTGACACTGGCCTGAGTGAACGCTGTCATTTTAATACAATTATACCATTCTCTCTTCTAGGGACCATTCCATCATTTAAAGAATGACATGGCTGAGAGGGAGACTGAAGGAGACAGTTCCGGGCAGAGCGGAATTTAAATCATCCTCCAGATACTGCAGTCTTACAGTATTTTTTATTGAAATAGTTTATCTGACAGTACACAAAAAGTGCTTTCACCATGTAGCTGTGAAATATCAACTCTGCCGTCTCCCAGGAAAGAGTCAATAATTACCTTTATCATGTGCTAAGGTGGTTAGAGCCACGGGTAAAAGGCAGGATCAAGCGAGACTTTCTTAGCACTTACGACCAATCCATTATAAACAAATACCCCCCTTGAAGAGCCAGGTTCCAGAAGAAAGGTGACCAAACCCCACACCGACATGAAGGCGACGAGAGGTGACACCGTGGGCCAACATCTATAAGCATGCTCGTCCCCTCCCTTCGCTGGGAGTCGCTCGCTGATCTTGAGCCAGGCACAGAAGGCTCTGCCGCAGAAGGATCAAGCTCCTTAGAAAGAGGTCCCAGAGGCTGGATAATCAGCTCCCCAATGCCATGCTTAGCCGTCCCCTTCTGCCAGCGTCCCAGTGTTCTTTAACACAAACAAGATCATCACTCCATGGCATCGAGGAGCCCTGGGACTCAGTCTAGAAAGATCTGGAAGCTCTCTGGCAAGTCACATATAGCCCATGTTGCTCTTGGTTTCCCATCTCTTCTTTGCTTCAAATCTGAAATGAAGAGCACAACAAGTCTCGATTCGTTTTGAAAACAAAGCAGCTTTGGCTAAAGCAGCACATCTGGGGAGTGCCCAAAGTTAAGCCAACGGAAACATCTCCCAACAGGACGATTACAACACCAACATCGAGCCTCGGGAGAGGGGCCAGCCCAGCTAAAATCTGATAGAACATCCCAAGTTCTAAGGGACAAAATGGATCAAAGTACACATGAAGTACCAGGGGTGTTAGCAGGGTCTCTGGGACCCACATGACACTCATCGATCACGACGCAAAAGCTCAGACTCACCCCCACGCCAGCTTCTTCTTTTTGCGAACCACCTGTGAATTCTCCGCTTCCTTTTTGGCTTTCACAAAGTTGTGGCAGGCGATCGCTTTGGCGATTTTAACACCAAGCTAAGAATTGCAAAGGAGGAAAAACAACGTGAAGACCAATCTTCCAATGACTACAGAAATTACAGTGCAAATGCTTGGGAACCTGTAGATAAGAAAACCATGCCTACAAATCCGAAAAGTTCTAATTATAAAACTGAAGCACAATGAGTCTGTAAGGTTGGCCCCTCTGACCCTTCCCTCCCACCAAAGCCCCTCGCCCCGGCTGGACCAGCCTCCTGGGCGGCACGCCTTCCCAGATGGAAGCCCCGAGGGACTACAAAGGTAGTAATAAGGCCCTGGCAGCATTTCAGTGGGCTGAATGGGAACTCACCCCTGATAAGGCGGCACAGACTGACAGAGACATCAAGTGCCTTTGCTCTGGGCTAGAATTATAGCAACTCAGTATGGTCACTCCAGTTATCGCCTGCTCATCAGGAACTCTGATTGGCAGTTATAGATGTGATTAATAAAACATGGGAAAGCTAATTACTCCTCCATAAATGCACTTTCGGTATGGCTGACCGAACGCTCTGAATTCACTGAGGGCAGAAAGAGAGAGGTGCTCAGAGGGAAAGGCTGGGGCCCGGGGGCCCCGGACCACTGCGTGGCCTCTGCCAGCCCTTGTTCATTCATCCAAGTAAATGCCTCCTCCTGGAAGTCCTCAACTCAACATCAACTTTGCTCTCTGGCTGCCCACGGCCCCTTGGCCTCTAGCCATCATCCGGGTTCCCACTCTTTGGCCCCAGCCCTCAGCTGCAGAGTCCCACAGGCAGCAGTTGCAGCTCAGCCAGACACTTGGGCTCTGTGGGCTTCTTTTTAAAATGCCCATGCACATGGACAGTTCTAACATATCTGTTAAGACCCAGTTTAAACATCAAAGGCTAAAAACCGCTTCTGGGTGTCCCTAGCCACTTTTACCCCTGCATTCAAGGGCAGGCAGTCTTGGGAGGCAAGAAATGACCTGGAAGGCACTCGGAAGCCAACGTCTTGAAGCTGGGGCTGTGGGGCTCTGCTCCCCAGCACAAAAGCCAGGAGGAGGCAAAGAGCTTCCCAGGCAGGCAGGCAGGCAATGAAGGCGGTGAGGGTGGGCAGGCTTGGTGGCACTGTCGGCAGGCCTCGGAGAGCGGTCTTCTTCAGGGAGCACCATATACGGAGTAAACAAGCCCAGGGCTCCCCCAAACCACACTCACTGCCATCGAGTCGATTCCCACTCCCAACATCCCCTCGGGCCAGAGTAGAATGAACTTCCTCTGTCTTTAAGGGAGCAGATGGCCTCTTCTTTCTCCCGCAGAGGGGTGGGTTCAAACAGCTGACCTTGCAGTCACCCACTCCACCACTGACTAGAGTCGGTTCATCAGAGCCAAGAGACACCTGACTTTCTAGCCCAGGGAAGTGTTGATATAGAGAGGAAGGCAGCTAATGGAAGTGAGCTGACAAACCGCGGGGCAGCATTGGTCAACGACAACAGGACAGCCACTCAAGAGAGAATGACGGATGGTGACTGGAGAGAGCTCACTGTCCTTCCCAAACTAGAACCCTACGGATGTAAGGTCAACACCTATCCCACAAATACCACTGGGGCGCCATGTGCTGGTCTTGCCAGGCACTATCCTGGGGGCGCCAGTACTGAACCACCCAGGGCCGACTTCCACACAGGGCTAGTCCCACACAGCGGTTTCGATGTGGGCCTAGATCATTGGGGGTTCTTTTCAGTCCCTGTTCTTAATCATGGGAAAAGTCATTCACGCCAAGAACCACTACAATGGGCTGATGCCTGAAGGGCTGAAACTCCAGAGGATGCTGTGGCCCACTTTCCCACAATAGTGGCTTTCCTGTTCACCCAGAAACTACATGTCAATCTAAGAATCAAGTTAGCAGCTGTCAGATTAGGCAAGTCACCACTGTGGTGCCAAATAAAGCCCCCACTCGATGGCCCCAATTCGCTCCCTGCTTCCCTTCTCTGGACTAGCGGGGCTCTGCTGTGTCCGGCAGTGCCAGCAGCGTGATTTTGAGGGACACGAAGCCAGAACAAGGGGCTGCAAGGGCTCACACTGGCCCTTAAATTCTTTCAGTCACTCTCCGCTCACAGTTCACTAGGCAGAACTACTCACACAGCTGGGGGGTGCGGGCGGGGGGAGGGGGGGGCAGCAACGGGACAGTGGGTGAGCAGAGAGGCCTCCTGCAGGTGTGTACGTTTCAGATCCAAGATGGCTCGCTCCACAGTCACATGGAATATTTGGTCTCTTCTCCATTTCTACCCATGACACGTCAAGTGCAAGTCTGTTATACGTCACAGGTTCAACGAGTCCCTATAAAAAATGTAACCCCTACTCAGCTGGCTGTTCTTACATTTAAATGGGAGCCTCCAACTTTGGGCAAGTGTCACAAAAATGACCTGAACTGTTTTTGCCAGACAAGCCCTAGCAGCCAGTCCGTCAAATGATTCCCTGACACTTGTCCAAGAAGATGCACGGCGAGAGCTGGGAGAGCGGTGCCAGAGCACGGGGGCCTGCTCTGCCACTTTCCCATCTCGCACTTTGGTGGGGGCCCTCTGGGTTTTCCTGCTCGGACAGGTTTCCACCGTACACAGCGGTTCCAGTCCCCCCCACTCCCCCACCCCCCGACTTCAGTGACGTGTGCACTTGGAACCTATTGAAACTCTTCATCTGGGTTTTCCAGCCTTGGGACAGGCAAAGCTAGAGGAACAGCTCAGCGCCCAGACCGGAAGGAACCTCTTGGTCCTGACAAGGCTGAGCTTATTGTTCTCCAGCAACAGCGCCCGGGATAAGGCCTGGCCCTCGGCCGAGCAGAGGGAGGCCCCGCACTCTTAATACCTGGGACTGCGCACTGAGAGGAACCGAGCAAGGGCACGACTGGCCTCGGTACCTGGCAGCACCCCGGGTCCTTCTTTCTCACTGACTGAGGCGACAAGGCACGCTCAGCACAAGCCTGGCCCGCCTACTTCGCCGGAGACATGGTTTTGCCTCCGCTGGTGATGAAAAGTCCTATCCATTTGCATGCCCTCCACACGGTTATGATGAAGGTGTTTCACCTACTCCTGGGAAGAAAGGAACATGATGGACTCCCCACCCCCAATTCTAGGGGATGCTAAGCCAGCCCACAGAGGAGGCAGTTGAGAAGCAATACATTTTTCCCAGGCTGGATGATGAGCCCATCTCCTGAACACAAGCGAGCATCGTGCTGTGGTGGTTCGCTATTACAAAACGCGAATCTAGGCCACGGAGAATATCCTTTCTGCTTCTGTCTGGGAGAAAAATGCACCTCCATGCCCTGTGTAAACATCACAAAAGCTTGCTCAATGGTTTTTAAAGTAAAAACAGTTTCGGGTCATCAGATAACTATAGCAACCCAGTTTGAAAAGCAATGTCTTCAAAAGAAAAAAAAAATATATATATATATATATATTTATATGTGTGTACGTGTGTACAGAGGGTCTCCCCCACCCCCCGTATGCATAGCCAAAGTATCAGCATTTTCCATATAGAACACCCAATATTTTGCTGCATTTTAATTAAGGTGTCTAAACATTATCACAAAGAACTGCAAATTGGTCAGAGCATGCGGTAAAGAAAATTAAGCTCTAAAGGCTTTTTATCACCATATTTCAGGAACCAAGGGTGTAAAATGTTCTAATTTGGGATATATTAAAAGCCATAAAAGGTCTTTCACAAAGATTAATGGTACTTTGCTTGGACTTAAGATAAGGGCTTTAGCTGGTTGGAAAAGCAGGGCCCTGGCTGGACCCTGGAGGCATTCATCTCTACAGCCACTTGGAAGATTTGTACAAGCGGCTGCATAACCCCCGGCAAATGCAAGGCGACATTTTTTTAATTCCTTTCAATTTTACAGGTTTAGCGCGTGTAAATCATCGCGGGTTGTAAAATAGATATAATGGCACATCCCTGTAATGGGGCACAGGTTTTTAAAAGACAAACTTGCCAAATCAAGTTCGGTTTCCTGGCCAAATCTTGCCAGGAGGAAGTGAGCCGACAATCACTGCAGCATCTGACCCCCAAACAGCTCCACGGAGCAAAGCTGTACACCTCACGTCCACTTCGTCAAGCATTTTACTCGTCGCAAAAATTACTGGCCAGCACAGATTTATGAAGTTTCCCTCCCTTTTGAACACTTTCAAGGCACTGATTTGAAAATAGCAATTATCATACTTTAACTTTTTATGGAATAATGGGTCTCTATGAGAAATATTTATGCCATTCTCTTTTGTGCTTTAATTAAATGAAAACAGATGTTTTCTGAAGTAAAGCGGAACCATTACCGGAGCACTTAAAGTGTTAAGGTCTTTAATTTTTATATCAGTTTGGTCGACAATTCCTGATTGTCTTTACTCAAGCTCAACATTAATGTCAAGCAAGTTACCTAGGAGACGAAAGAGATCAAAGAGACAAAACCCCCTCCAATGTCTGATTAATCAAGCCTGCAAACAGCTTATTTCTTTTCGCCTGCATGCAAGTATGAAAATGAGATTCTGGGAGCCGAACATTGTGGAGATTTGTTCATTCTTATCAGAACAAAGCCGGCGGCAGCTTATTTCATGGATCATTGGCACTGTCATCAGAGCTGCACGGAGCGGGGGACAGCTCCTCATTTTGAGGCTTGAACAAAATTAGCAAAAAGTCGGCACAAATTAGCCTCTCGTCTTTTTAGTAATATGACATTATTCATTTACTTTTTATCCAATTTTTAATTTTTTCCTTGTCAGCTATCTGTTTCTAGTGTGTCTTGCGTGGCATCAGAAAAGGTCTCTGCACGCGAAGTTCAACAATCGAGCTGAGAAAGCACCTCCAGTGACAGACGCTGTTGGAGGCGGGTGTGTTTTTTTGTTTTGGGGGTTTGTTTGTTTGTTTTTTTAAGAGCTTTCCAAACTTTGTGCTAACAGTGGTAAACAGCCCAGAGGCCTCGCGGTCTGGGAGATGGTGGGGCGTGCACCGCAGGAAAGAATGCAGTGGTGGGGCGGGTGTGCTTCCCCCAAACCATACCTC